GAGTTTTAATTAATGGATGCTATACGTCTTCCAAAAAAAAAAAAAAAAAAACAGATTTTTTTTTTTTCTCTCAAATCGCTAGTAGGTTTCACAAATAATTGCAAAGAAACCTAGATTACAGACTGAATATTCCGGTAAATCCTCCTACAGTCATCTTATGATTTTTTTTCTTTTTCTTTTTTTTTTTCATACAGTGAATGAAACATTCAGTATTCAGTTCTGTGGTTTCTCTGTCATGTGTCTCTATAACAGCAAAGCCAGGAGAGTGTCCAAGCAAAAAGTTTGGTGCAGGAACGTGTGCCAAGTTGTGTTACTATGACAGTGACTGTCCGAACAATGAGAAATGCTGCAGCAATGGATGTGGACATCAGTGCATGGCTCCATTTGCAGGTATTTATTATATTTGTGTTTGGGTCAACTTCCTCATTTCAGTTTGTCTTGTTTTATTACTAATTGTTCTCAATGTAAAAAGTGTTCAGCCAATTGCAAGGTTTTGAGCTCAGGATGGCTTTCCAAAATTAATTCTTAATACCATTATTTATTATTAATAGTTAAAGGAACACTCCGACTTTTTGGGACTTTAGCCTATTCACCTTACCCCCCAGAGTTAGATAAGTCCATACATACCTTTTTCATCTCCGTGCGTGCTATAAGTCTGTTTGACGCACCCACCGCTAGCCTAGCTTAGCACAAAGACTCGATGTGACTGGTTGCAGCTTTCATACTGATCCAAATGAGTGGCAAAATAACGCAAACGTTTTCCTATTTACATGTTGTGATTTGTATAGTCACATAATGTACAAATAACAAAGTCAAATGAGACACAGACATCTTTTAACCGTATAAAACCTGGGAACTATTCTCTGAAGGCGAAGCACTGCTACTTTGACGGCGTAATAACCGCATCACCGGAGACACGCCGTGGTGAGGAGCGGAGAGTTCGCTCGGTGTTTGGGTAATAGAGTCAGCAATTTATAAATAATAAAAGCGTAGTTTAGAGTCATGGGTTTTCGCTCTATTGTAAATAGCTGCGACTGTAAACAGGGGAGGTAACCATGTTTCACAGAATTCCAACTAAAAACGCTGACTGGATGAAGAAATGGCTAACTTACTCTGGATATTTATCCAAACACACCTAAGATTATCAAGGGACATTATGTTTGCTCGGTACATTTCAATGTGGACGACTATTTTGAAAAAATGGAATTTGCCACACGGACCATATAATGTGCTGAAGGATACGGCCATCCCATCGATAGCACAGACAGGACAAGTGGATCACCTGCGGCTGAGGTAAGTGTTCCGTTATGTTTTTAGATGACCTACTGTAACAGTGCCTTTAGCCAGATCTAATGTAACGTTAGTGACACTATTATATGATTAGGGTATGAATATGTTTTTATCTTGATGCGGTGCGGACGCGCTTGGGAAAAAAAAACTAACGCGTTCACCGCGTTGAACTTGCACCCTGCGCGCGGCGCGCCTAGTAGCCTAAATTTGAAATAACCATGGAAATAACGAACTTGAGCGTGCAAAAGGGTACGATAGGCTGTGAGTTCATTGTGCAAAAACAATTTGTGCTATTACTTTCCCCTTATTCTATCCTATAGTAATGCAATACTGTATATTATATAGGCAAATTTATTTACTGTTGAATACATTTGGTTCAGCTAATAAATTGCATTTAAAACATATTGATTCCTGTAATAATAATTATTTATTCATGTGATATTTATAAATCTGGGTGCGTTTTTGGTTGGAAATCAATGAAACATGGTACTGTATTACCTGGTCTCCCCTGTTTATTGTCACAGCTCATACAATAAAGCAAACACCCATGATAAACTTTGCTTTTCTATCTAACGTTAGTAATTGCTGACTCTTTATTCCAACGCTGAGAACTCTCTGCTCCTCGTCACGGTGCGTCTCAGGTGATCGTTATCACTCTGCCCAAGTAGCAGTGCTTCCCCTTCAGAAAATATAGTATTTATACGGTCAAAAGATGTCTGTGTCTCATATGGCCTTGATATTTGCACACTCTGTGACTATACAAACGACAACATGTAAATAGGAAAACGTTTGCGTTATTTTGTCACTCATTTGGATCAGTATGAAAGCTGCAACCATTCACATCCAGTCTTTGTGCTAAGCTAGGCTAGCGGTGGGTGCGTCAAACAGACTTATAGCACGCACGGAGATGAAAAAGGTATGTATGGACTTATCTAACTCTGGGGGGTAAGGTGAATAGGCTAAAGTCCCAAAAAGTCGGAGTGTTCCTTTAAGGAGTAAAACTTGCTATTTGGGTTTGGTGCTGTATCTGAGACTGAATGCCGCTAAATGGACAGTCTAAAGATGAACATCTGTATCCATCCAGTGAAGCCTGTAGCCGAACCGCCAAAGCCTCCAGTGAAGCCTGCAGGTGAACCACAGAAGCCTGCAGTGAGGCCTGCAGCCGAACCACCGAAGCCCTCCGACGAACTGCCCGAGCCTTCCGACGAATTACCGGAGCCTTCCGACGAGTTACCGGAGCCTTCCGATGAGCTGCCTGCTGCCGAACCCGGAAGGCCTCCTGTGAAGCCTGTAGCCGAACCACCAAGGCCTTCCGACGAGCAGCCCGAGCCTTCGGACGAACTGCCCGAGCCCTCCGAACTACCGGAGCCTTCCGACGAACTTCCCGAGCCCATTGCAGCTGAACCCGGAAGGCCTCCTGTGAAGCCTGCAGTCGAACCCGGAAGACCTCCTGTGAATCCTGCAGTCAAACCTGGAAGGCCTCCTGTGAATCCTGCAGTCAAACCCGGAAGGCCTCCTGTGAAGCCTGTAGCCGAACCTCCAAGGCCTTCCGACGAGCAACCCGAGCCTTCGGACGAACTGCCCGAGCCCTCCGAACTACCGGAGCCTTCCGACGAACTGCCCGAGCCCCCTGCAGCCGAACCCGGACGGCCTCCTGTGAAGCCTGCAGCCGAACCCGGAAGGCCTCCTGTGAAGCCTGCAGCCGAACCCGGAAGGCCTCCTGTGAAGCCTGCAGCCGAACCCGGAAGGCCTCCTGTGAAGCCTGCAGCCGAACCCGGAAGGCCTCCTGTGAAGCCTGCAGCCGAACCCGGAAGGCCTCCTGTGAAGCCTGCAGCCGAACCCGGAAGGCCTCCTGTGAAGCCTGCAGCCGAACCTCCAAGGCCTTCCGACGAGCAGCCCGAGACTTCGGACGAACTGCCCGAGCCCTCCGAACTACCGGAGCCTTCCGACGAACTGCCCGAGCCCCCAGCAGCCGAACCCGGAAGGCCTCCTGTGAAGCCCGCAACCGAACCCGGAAGGCCTCCTGTGAAGCCCGCGGCCGAACCCGGAAGGCCTCCTGTGAAGCCCGCGGCCGAACCCGGAAGGCCTCCTGTGAAGCCCGCGGCCGAACCCGGAAGGCCTCCTGTGAAGCCCGCGGCCGAACCCGGAAGGCCTCCTGTGAAGCCCGCGGCCGAACCCGGAAGGCCTCCTGTGAAGCCCGCGGCCGAACCCGGAAGGCCTCCTGTGAAGCCTGCGGCCGAACCCGGAAGGCCTCCTGTGAAGCCCGCGGCCGAACCCGGAAGGCCTCCTGTGAAGCCCGCGGCCGAACCCGGAAGGCCTCCTGTGAAGCCTGCGGCCGAACCCGGAAGGCCTCCTGTGAAGCCTGCGGCCGAACCCGGAAGGCCTCCTGTGAAGCCTGCGGCCGAACCCGGAAGGCCTCCTTTGAAGCCTGCGGCCAAACCCGGAAGGCCTCCTGTGAAGCCTGCGGCCGAACCCGGAAGGCCTCCTGTGAAGCATGCCGAACCCGCAAAGCCTCCAGTGTGTGCCGAAAACTGTCAAAGTCACCCTTCTGGCCAATGTCCTGGCCATAAGTAATGTGACTATGCATGCAGTTAACTGTGCTGATTTAACCATTGGATGTATAGTGTGTTTGCTATATCACCAAATAAATCTCACACTGGTATGGCTACTTCCTCTTTTCGTTATTTTTTTTTTTTATAAGTGGGAAAACAAAGAATTTGTTTTTTGTTTCGTTATGTCAGTATTCGTTTGGCTGTTTTCTCACATAATGGCTCATTGGAATCTATGCATGAGATCTCACCCTCCTTCAAAAAGCATGGTAGCGTGCCTAGCAGAGTCTGCAATGTGTCAAGAGATGAAAGACTGTGTTAAATTGCCTCATGTCTCAAAATGCATAACATTACAGTGAGAATGAACGTAAACAATGTACAGAGCTCTAGTTCTACCACCTGACTGATGTAGATTCATTTTGCCTTTGATAGTGTTGACATGGAAACGCATAAATCCAAGCCTGAATCCAAATGCAATGATTAGATAAACATTTCTTTTTTTTTTTTGGTCCTGAGAACTCCAAAGAAGATATGTGCATGTTTTAATATTTAGAAGACTTCTATTATTGATTGCAATAGGACGTAAAGCTTCAACCGATATGCCAATTGACCAATAGTTTTCTGCATTCTTAATGTTCAATGTGTTCGGACATCGAGGAAGACAATGGAGACACTATAGGAGCTGAAGAGTCACGCTTTAAATCGCTTGTGCCGAGTTCACACTGAACAATTTTCATTCGCTGACAGGTTTTGGGAGTTTGCCAACAAATGCCGAAACCATAAGTAAATCAGTGCTCGTTCCCATGAGTGACAATCATGCTAAATATCTGGGCCTGTCGGCGATTCAAAATCCTGCTGTGTGAACGTGTTCTGACTGAAAACTACAGGACAGCGGGATGTTCGGGGAAGAGTTATAGACCAGAATATCGTTATTTTCAGTATGTTCAGTCAGGCATTGTCACCTGATGGAGTTTTAGGACCCCATTAGGTTACTTGATGGAGTTTTTCGGTTCCTTGACACTGTTGCCTTTGGCTTGCTCAGTTGGAGATATTCAAATTGATTAAACCAATCAGTAATACTCTTGATCAGCTCTACCAATCGTGGATGTTTTTCAACTAAGAAACGAACATTGTTATTATGTTTTGATTGGTACTGTGAAGCTGCTTTGATGAAAAGGTGACATTTTCGTGATGTAAAGTGATTGTGCAATACGTGAGCATTAGTTTGCACATCGTGCTAGCGATCTTTTGTTATGCTAATTAGACTCATTTGGTTTCCGTGATTACACGGTATTACCTAATACTACGAATATAACTACCAAATGCACATGAAAATGTAATGTTTAATGCTTAATATGTTGATTTAATGTTTCAACTAAGTGCTTCTTTTAGACAGTAAATACTGTTTAGTCAAATATGCACTTTGAATATGTACATTTTAATATGTTTGTTTGCAGTTTTACAATGTTAAAGTTTAAAGAGAAAAGATTCATATAGCTAACAAGTTGCCTGTTCACTGTCTGTCTAGCTGGATAGAGAAGTGACACGTCTAGTGAGGACAGAACAGTAAAAAGCCTTCTATCAGCAAACAACGCCTTAAACGCTAACTTCAGCCATTAAGTCATCATGTGGCAGCCATCAGACCTGCATCGCCAACAGCAGCCAGGGAGCCACATGCTGAAAGTTCAAGAGGAGGCACTGGAAACGAGATCCCTGTGCTCTGCTTCTTCAACGCAGTCTACGAGGTCATCTGCAATCGTAGCAGCTCTCAAAGCGCGAGCCAAAGCTGAGGCTGTACAAGCCCAGGTGATCTATGCAGAAGAGGAAGCTGAAGTAATGAAACAACAAGCTGAAATGCAGGCTCAGCTACATATTTTAAAGATAAAGAAAGAAGCGGCAGCTGCAGCTGCAGAAGCAGAGGTATATGTGCTTTAGAGATAGATTTCAAAGAGACTGATGGGAATGAAAAGACTGTGTCGCAAGAGGACTTAGTATTCCTTCAGAAACTTGAGCATGGCATAAGGCAGACTGAAAATGGACATTTTGAAATGCCATTACCATTTAAAGAAACCACAAATGCCAGATAAGACAACTCGCTGAAACCCGGCTAAACCAGCTCAAACGCAAATTCCTGAAAGATGAGAAATACAAAAGGGATTACATGTAATACATGCGCGACATCATCAAAAGAGGTGATGCTGAAAAGACTGATGATAATGGACTGCCCAGAGAGACATGGTACATACCGCACCACGGTATCTATCATCCAAAGAAACCTGAGAGGTTGCGCGTGGTCTTCGACTGCTCTGCGAAACACAAGGGCACCTGTCTTAATGAGCATTTACTGAATGGTCCTGACATGATCAACAACCTAACTGGTGTGCTTATGCGCTCCAGACAGCACCAAGTAGCTCTCATGTGCGACATTGAAAAAATGTTCCACCAGTTCCAAGTCAAAGAGAATGATCGAGACTACTTGCGCTTTCTATGGTGGAAAGACGGAGATATGAACAGCCGACCACAAGCGTACATGACAGTACACCTCTTTGGCGCCATCTCATCGCCCGGCTGTGCGAACTATGGACTTAAACATTTAGCCAAAGAGAACAGTTCTGCATATCCAGTTGGCTCACGGTTTGTAGCACGAGACTTCTATGTAGACGACGGAGTTACCAGCGCAGAGACAGTAAATGATGCTGTACGACTGGCAAAGGAAGCACGTGAACTATGTGCGAAGGGTGGACTAAGGTTACACAAATTCGTGTCCAACAACTCTGAAGTTTTAAAAAGCATTCCAGCTTCAGAGCATGCAACAGATACAAGAACAAAGGACTTGACGTTTAATGAAACACAGACCGAAAGAGCATTTGGGATTTATTGGGATGTGGCGAAGGATTGCTTTACGTTCAACACCACACTAAAGGACCAACCACCAACCAGACGTGGCATCTTGTCCACAGTCGCAGCAATATACGACCCCCTTGGCTTCATTGCTCCCTATGTGCTGAAAGGAAAGGAAATTCTTCAAGAAATGTGTCGTCAAGGAACAGACTGGGACGATCCTCTACCCGAACATCTTAAGCCACGGTGGGAGGGCTGGAAAGGAGATCTGCACAATCTAAAAAACGTGCAAATCAGCAGATGTTATGCTCCTCCAGATTTTGGAGAAGTGGTAAAAAGAGAAATACACCACTTTTCAGATGCAAGCACCACAGGATATGGACAGTGTTCATAAACTCATAAACAAAAGGGAAGATGTCCACTGTACCTTCATCATGGGCAAAGCACGCGTCTCTCCAACAAAGGTCAACACGATCCCAAGGTTAGAGCTTACCGCAGCCGCCGTATCAGTCGCTGTAAGTAACACGCTAAGAGAGGAACTGCTCTATGACAATATTGAGGAGTTCTTTTGGACAGACTCAAAGGTCACTCTGGGGTACATTAGCAACGATGCGAGAAGGTTTCACACTTTTGTTGCTAATAGAGTGCAGAAAATCCGCAACAGTACCTCACCGCAACAATGGTATTATGTGCCTACCAGTGAAAACCCCGCAGACATGGCATCCAGAGGCACATCTATAAATGAACTGCTCTCATCCAATTGGTTCAAGGACCCTCACTTCCTTTGGGAAAAGAAAATACAACTTCCAACAAAAGAGACCATTGCACTTAAAGTTGGAGACCCAGAGGTAAGAAAGGTGCAGACACTGAACACAGAAACGGTTGAAAACACAAGCCTTTGTGACCGGCTCACAAAGTTCTCTTCCTGGTCCCGTGCAGTCAGCGCAGTCGCACGTCTCAGACGATCAAAGACTCTCACAACAGTAACGGAAAGAAAAAACTCAGAAATGGTGATAATCAAAGACTTACAAGACAAACATATCAAAACGAAATAGAGACATTGAACAAAGGCAAACAACTTCCAAAGAACAACAAAATGTACAACTTGGATGTTTTCTTGGACAAGGACAATGTGCTTAAGGTGGGAGGAACTCACACTCATCTCTTCCCAGCTCATTCAAACATCCAACAATCATTCCCAGAGAACATCATGTCGCAAAGCTGATAATTGCTCACTGCCACGAAAGGGTCAATCATCAGGGAAAGGGCTTCACAATGAATGAGATACGATCCAATGGCTATTGGATCCCAAAGTTG